CTAGGCTGCTTGTTGTACTGGGTGCCAAGTTTTGCCTTAAGCGCCGTAATAATGGCCCCATTCGCTTGTTTTATAATTCATACTTTTCAGCTTGTTTTTTCAGCCGGAACAATATTTTTCTCTCACAACAAATCAACCGGAACAATATTTTGGTTTGTTTTTTCAGCGAAGTGAACGGGGTTACTCTTCACCAATTCTCTCTGCATGAAAACAGCAATCTTGGGTATGTGCTCATGGAAACACAGCTACTGAAACACCAAATGGATCGCAAATGCATTGGTCATGATAACTGAAACTGTGAAATTCTTTAGTTTCTATTTATATCTCTTCTCAAAATTATATTGATCCAACCCGTTTCCTCTCTCTCCAAAATAAATGGAAAAAGAGACAGCACCAAAAAAAAGAGTACTGCTATTTTACACAATGAGGCTATGAGGCTATCAGAGAAACAGCCTTTGCCATCTCTCTGTTTGGCTGGCCTTGACCATTATTGACTGGCACCGTCAGCATCTCGCTGGCACGTAGCTCTCCTCCTGAATGGTCTCCAGCGTGGGCCGCCTGGACCGCCGTCCGCCGCCGCTGAGCCGCTGCTTGAGCTCCTCGATCTCCGCAGCGGCCGCCGCGTCGTCGACGGCCATCTCCTCCAGCTTCGGTGCCCTCCGCTTGGGCGCGTCCATCTCCTGAAACCCAAGGGACCCGGCGGCGGCGGCGGCCTCGAGCACCTCGGGCGGCGCGACGACGACAGCGGCGACCTTGGCCGTGGCGGCGGGAGACGACGCCGGCCTCATCCTCCTCCGGCTCCTCGTCGCGCGCGCCTGCTTCTCCCCGCTGGCCACCACCGCGGCCGCCAGGCGCGCCACGTCGGCGGGCGCCACGGGGGCGCCCAGGCGCTTCATGGGAAGCGCGGCGTACAGCGCGCCGCGGACGAGCGCCTCGTCCGCCGGGAGCGCCTCGATCCGCCGCCCCGGGCGCAGCGCCCGCGCGTCTGCCAGGAAGTGGCCCGGCGTGTCGAGCATCAGCTCGGCCGCCGTGGCCGGGAGCGCCACCTGTCGCACCCGCCCGTCCGGGAGCACGACCCTCGCGCCGCTGCTGGCCCTCCCGGCCCCGGCCGCCGTCCCCGCCAGCGTGCACGACGCGAAGTTGCCCATGGAGCTCGAGGAGGAGCGTAGGAGTGTGTGGGAGCGTAGGTTTGCTGCGAGATTGCGTGCGTTTGGGTTTGGCTGCGTTACGGTGGGCGATTTTATATAGGTGGAGTGTGTCGTCGGGGGGCCGAGGGAGAGCGGGTGCGAGCGGATGGCGGATGGTGCTCTCGCCTGCCTGGGCTTTGCTTGCGGGAACGCGTGCGATGGAAGTGTGCGGAGAGCCGGAGACGGTGACGGCGGTGGTGATGGGATGGGACGGGCTTGTGTTGTGCTGGTGCGTGCGAGAGGGACGGACAACCAAAAAAGGTGGAGTCGAGTCGAGGGGAAAGGGGTGCCGGTGGTGGCCAGGTGGGTGGGTTCAGGTCGCCGTCGAGGTGGAATTGCGCGTGGGACCGACCGACCAAGGGTGCCGCCGGGGGTCCGGTCCGGTCCGGGTCAGGTTGGGCTAGTCGCTTTGGGGCTGGCACTGGAAATCCAATGGGCATGGCTGCTTCCGCCGCAGGTGGCGCGACGACGCAGCGTGGTGGTCTGGTGGACTTCCGGAGGACGAGGTGTGTTCAGAATTGTTCCTTTTCCTTTTTCGTGTCCGCCAGCCGGTCCGGAGCGCCGGGCACCTGAAAGCTCAAAGCCTGGATATGCTCCTGGCCCCGTTCGCGTGTCCTTAAACCCGACTTGATTTACTTTTTTTTTATCCAGTACAGTGTTTTCTCTCATAAATTTCTTCAGATTTCTTCAAAATTCCTCCGAGCGATCTGTAGTCACGCACAGCTACGGGCATTTGTATCACTTCTCCAGAGGCCAGACCAGAGACAGATGGCTTCATCAGAATTCACAATTGTTGCATATTCCTGCACATTTCCTCTAGATATTTCCTATACAACAGGTGCCTGGAATCGATCTCGAGTGTCGCTCTCCACACGCTTGTGAGAGGTTTCGAGGATAGGCTTGTTGGTTGGATGTGCTACCTGCCTAGCTACAGGAAAAAAGGGTTTTAGGGAAGGCGGGTGCAGGGCCAGAGTAGCGAGGCGGCGAGGCCACCACCGCTGCCTTGCTGGCGAAGGAGGACAGCGGTTGAGCCAGAGAAGAGTGAGAGAGAGAGTCGAGACGGGGGCTAGACGCAGTGGTCCGGGAGGTCAACAAGGACAGGGATTGGTTGGCGGTAGCCAGGTACGAGGGTGTTGCGTTGTTTGATGCTTTGTTTCATCGTTTGTTTTGGAGCTTGTCTATCTAACACCCGAGTGTTTTAGCACCCGGTAACACCTGATTTTTTTCCCATAGATATTGTTCATCGTCCTCCTCTCTTCTCTTTCTCCTTGCCACAAATCACAAGTAACAATTTTTTTCTATGAAAGGACAGAGACAAATTTGGTGACGGCGTCGGAGTTGGGGAAGAAGCTCGCCGGACTTGAGGAAGATGCCGGGGGCGGCGGCGGCGGCGGCGGCGCGGGGATGGGCGAGCACGACGGCGGCAGCGCGGGGACAGACACGGCGGCGCAGGCGCTACAGCGACGCAGGCGCGGCGGACGTGCGGTTCCGTGGCCAAAAAAAATCGTGTGCCACCGGGTGATAAAACACCCGGTTGTTGTATAGCATTTCCGTTGTTTTGAGATGAACAAACACAGCTAAAGGAAAAAAGATAACTAGCCACTATTGGATGATGGATCGACGGTTTAGAATATCACATGATGGAAAACGATATTATAGCATTGTTTAGTAGAGCGGTTAGAAAGGCACTTCTCTGAGAAGTTACACAAATGAAAAAAAAAATTAAGGTTAAAATTAGCTGGTCTAGCCTAGCTTTTGCGTCTTAGTGCAAATGGGTGCTGTCGATAGAAACGTGGTCAGAAGAAAGCTGAGAAAATATATATCGTTTGCTCTTAGTTTCACCTTATTTTGGTCATAAACAATTTATAAGCTGTACTAAACAGGAGCATGAAAAACAATTCCTTATATAAGTTATATTCGTATTCGTTCCATTTCGTGATCAGATCGGCTGTTTATTTTCAAAAGTGAGCTAAATTACTCTAAAGTTTTTAGAGTTCTAAAGTTTAGAGCGATCAAATAGGCCATAATCTCATGGAGACTCGCCCTACGGACGGTGGACCCGGAGTCCCTTCCACGATTGAGTCACCAGTCAGCTTTGAGTAAGCAGCACGCACGAGCTGGCCATTCATCTCGTCTTTCCCATTCACTGCCGCGGGTACGTGCCAGGACTCAATGTTTCCCTTCACATTCCAAAGCACAGCTAGCTTGCACGTACTGTAGTACTGTAAATGGAAAGGGCACACTGACAGTGACAGTCAAAGTGTGAAACCAGCTACGAGCTCGAGGATGCTCAACTGCATGCAGCTCGCATGACTCGAGTCGTGAATAGCATCTTGACTCGACTCCTGCGCATCGGAGGGAGCATCTGAGCATGACGTGACCCAACCGCAATGTAACCAGAATGTCGCGGACGAAGCTGCTGCGAAGCTGCGCGCCCGGGCTCGCACCTCGCTGTGCGTCAGTGGCCAGTGCCGGCGGAAAGTTGCGACTTGCGACTTGCGACTTGCAAGGACCTGCTAGCGAGCCGGGCCGAGCACATGAGTGGGCGTAACTGTGCGCGTCTGAATTATGCGCCTATGCGATTGCGCGTGTGGACTTCACGGGGGCCGCCGGGCTCCGGGGCCCCGGCGTGGCTGAGTTGTGCCTCTCATGGGGATGCGCACCGCGCGCGGTGTGCACGGCGGTCGGTCGGTGCGTGCGGTTCGCTCCGGCATCCGGCCCCACCCGGCACCGGCGTCAGCAGGACACCTTCCGAGTTCCGACTTGAGGCTGTTGGCTGGCTTCCCCTTGAGGCCTTGACCCGAGGCGACTTGCACAGGAAATGCAGTAGCTCGTCGACGTCGGGTTATTACCGAAAGATACAGCGCACTAATGACTGGTCACTGATCTGTCATCTTCATCTCTGCTCACTACTCACCACTGCTAGTGTTCGAGTTGGGGAGTCAGCAGACAATGGGTGTATGTAGCCATCGCCCATCTGTTGCGTAATTGCGTTATGACACGGCGGTTCAATATTTGGGCCGGGCAAATCAGGGGACACACAATGGCTAGCAAGTCCTTGGTGGCCAGCGCACCCGGTAACGACCAGTGATCCAGTGAGCTCATGGTCATGGGTGGGTGTCATGGTTTGGTAGTTCCACAAGGTGCTGCGTGCCCAACCGTCAAATCACAACTACTGTACCAATCTGTGGCAAGTAGTTTGACACCGAGCTCGTTCGTGCTTGGGTAGCTATACGGAAGCATAGGTCAATGCCATTATCTTATAGCTTTTTAAACCCGACTTTGACCACACTGACATTATAATTTTGTACTTCTGTGCTGCTCTGGCCACTGGCATTGACCTTACAAAAGGTGCTGGGATGCTGATTGCTATCGGGCACACCGCACACACTGCAACTCTCAAAGATTTGAGCGCACTCACACACTCACACACTACGACAGATTCCAGGATGACGATTCCTGGCGATCAAACCAGATTATCCTAAAGATTTGAGATCAGAAACATAACATGCGACAAGATAGTTGGATAACAGTAATAAACAATAATAACAATAACAGGTCATCGACGATGCAACCAGATGAAGCTATACAACTTAGGATACGGAGCACAGGCTCAACTCTAAAACTCCCTTTACCAGCAAATATGGCTATGAATCAGAAATTCAGAATAGTACTGCAAAGTACGAACGAGGCCGACTACTATCGAGTATCGACCAACAGGTAACATTGGCCTCTGACGAAAAATCAGTCAGTTCAGCTTTCAACTACGTAATAACTGGGTTTTAGGCACCTGGGCCAAGGTGAATGACCAAGTTAAGCCACTTGCCTGGCCAGGTAGACGGCGAGCCGCCTCTCTTCGAACGAGTACTCGATGTCCCCTGGCAGTGCTGGCGACCCTGCCTTCTCCTGGAAAAGGGTTGCAGGAGTGGCTATGACCTTGTTAGCCACAGCTGGTGTCACCGCCAACTGCATAGGAGCCGTCACTGTCACCGGCGTTTTTGGATTGAGCCCTGAAAATTTCTTGGGGGTTTTGTTCTCTTCCTCTGTGTCATTGGAGATGGGCCGCGCAGGCACCAATGAGACATTGTTTCCTGGCATGATCTGGGCAAAAGGCTTGCGTGGTGTTTCTGCCTCTCGCAGAGTGCTTGCGTTGAAAGATAACTTCTTCACGGGAAGACCGGCAATGTCCAAGCCTCTACTACCTGAAAGTGCTAGGTTCGATCAGAAGTGAATTGTATGCGAGTCAAAGTAAGTTTACTAGGAGATGAATGGAAAAGAAATTGCAGTAGATGAATGGAAAAGGAAGCTTACTAGGAGATAAAGCGCCCAAATCTTCAGCCTTCTTGGCAGCACGAGCTGTCTTGGAGTGCATTATGTCTGTTTTGGGGGCTTGCGTTGTGGGTCCACCAAGAGACAGTCTTCCGTTCGCACCACCCATGGAGTGCCTAGGCGCCTTCTTCGTGCTTTGTGGCTTAGATGGACTTGGTTTTGATCCATACAGCGCTTCCTGCTCAGCTTTGAGTTGATCCTGGATCTTCTTCTGATCCTGCAAATCAGAATAAGGTATTACAACATATTAACTCCAGTTAAAACTGAAGGTTTATGCAATGTAGAAATATTTTGCACGGAAATATACCCTCTGCCTTTTCTTCTCTAGCTCTTTCTCCTGGCGAACGATCATGTACTCTTCAAGCATTGACAGAAGGCGGACCTGAAAAATATTGCATGAAATACATTTTAGCAAAATATTAAATAATCCAAGGAATTAAACATCCAAGAAAAAAGTACGGGAATAAGAAAACTTACACCATCATATGTGAACTCTTTTCCTCTTTCTGTCTCCCAAGCTACAATTTTTGTGGTCAAAACATCTACCAGTCCTGTTTCAGGCATGGCAATGGTAAATTGGTTGCAACTATGACAGAAAAACATTCTATGAACAGAACATAATCAGTGAAAGCTCTAATAGAAATCTAACACAGCAATATTACCTGGGATCTTGTTTACCAAAATGCGAGCTTTCTCAGCCCTTTTGAGTGTCAAGTGGGCCCCCCTCCCGGCATTATAACGATTGTCATCCTATAAATGTCATGTTCAGGGAACTATTACTATCCAGTAAACAAAAACGGAACAGAGATTTGCATATAAAGTTGACCAGCATTGCTACTTTGTTGTAATCTTCCAGCCAAGCTTCCTCCTCACATGCATTCAGCCATCTTTCAACCTTCTCGAGGATATCCTTCCGGCTAAAAGCTTCCTCTTTCACTGTGGCAATGTGAGCCTCAATTTGTTCCAGCACCAGCGCAGGATCAACAGCTCCTGTAGGAAAAGGCAAAGGTGGATAAGATCGTTCTCATGTTCCCATATTTTTCAGGTCTGCAATACATTTTAATGGACACAAGTTAACAACCCAGGATATGATCCTTACCTGCCTCAATAGCCTCATCGCTAAATTCGGCTGCATAACCCTCCTCGCCAATCAAATGAGCACGTCTCCTATGCTCTTCCAGTTCTGTCTTCTTTTTCAGAACAAGGTCTTTCATCTTGCTCGCTTTAAGTTGTTCAAGCCTTAAAACTTCAGATTCCACCTACATTTTAGATCAAGATATAATCTCAGAACATTCCTAGCTCAAACAAAGAAAAAACATAGCAACAGTGGCATGAGCAATATCTAAAGAACAATGAACTCACATAGCTGAGGAAGTCAATAGAGAGGGTGTTAGGCTCAGTTATTTCATGTTCTGAAGCAGCAATATTGCAGGTTACATTCTGGAACATCTGCTGCTCTTCAAGTGGTGTATCCATGAGATTCCAAAGTTCAAGCATGCTAGATGCCAAATCTTGAAGCTGTGACATTCAGAATTTCATATTAACAATGTTAAAGGCACTGAATAATTGAAAATTGTTGAGGGTGGCCTGTGATGAACGATCGGAATTTGACACTAGTGAATGCGCTGAATAATAAAAAAAATTATGGTTGACTGCGCTGAATGATTGAAATTCCGAAGTGATATAAAGAGTGCTAACCTTTTGCATCCTCTGGACTTTCAATTCATGCAATCTGTTTACGGCTGATGCAAGACTCTCAATTGTACTATTGCTTAGGTTCTTTGATCCATCAGTCTCACCCAGGCTAGGGTGCACCTCATGTACTGTTTGTTTGAAGTCTACACCAAGCACCTCGCATAAGGAATGCAAAGTGTTAAGATGTTCCATCACTTGTTTCAGCCGATCACTCTGTCAAAAACAGGCACAAACAATGAGATTTATAGACTTGCATGAGCAGTGAAGGAAAATAATAGACATGGGGAGTAATACTCATTGGACAAATAAAGCAGATTGGAACAAGTGATGCTGACCTTCTCCTTCTGAAGGGATTGTAGCTCTTTTGTTAGCTCCTCCAGCTTTCTCAATGACAGATCAGACTGATCCACAGGAATTCTAAAGGGTGAAAAATCTGCAGGCCTGATTTCAGATGCAACCTTCTTAATTTGCTCTATGACATCAACAAATTGGTCCCATCTTTCAGCTTTTTTCTTTCTCATCTCCTCCAAGTATGGGACAATCGCATTCAATTCCTCCCTCAAACCATGTAACTTCTGATTTGACTGCCATTTAAAAAGAAAACAAATTATTGATGGAGTCACTACTGAAATATTCAGTTTTCGAAGCAGAATGCATGCAGTTCCTGACTTCAATATGGGACAATTTCGTTCTGCTACTCCCTTAAACCATTCACGTTCTTATTGTACTATAACATTTTTCATCAAAAAAAGGTAGAGCCACTACAGTTTTTTTTTTGGGTAAGCCTTCAATATAGCAGAGTACGAGTGACCTGCACATCTAGCCAATAGCTATCACACTATCACAGCCCTAAAGTTGCAATGGCAATAAAAGAGATCATGAGAGAAAATTCTGTAGACTATCCTTCTGCAGTACAGTGGTAGTACTCAAATGTTATTTGTTTCTTTCATGGTATATGGTACTTCAAACTTTCAAAGCACAGAAACTAACCTGTCTAACATGTATCGGTGGCTCGCCCATGGCCGAGCAAATGCCAGCGAGCTCGGCCTCTGCCTCCGCAATGGCCTGCCGCAACTGGGCCCTGCACCGATTGGCCTGGTCGACCTTCCTCCTGTAGACGTCGAGGCACTCCTGCTCGAGCTCCAGCAGCATCCGGTCCCTCGCCATGTCGGGCTCACCGACCTCATCCCAAATCACCTGACACAACCCAGGAAAAAATACCTGAATTCATCGCGGACCGGGCGCGCCGAACGGCGGAACCAACAAAAAGGCCGGGGAAAAACTGTGGAATTAGAGAGAGGAGGACTTACGTTGAGCTCCAACAGGAGTGAATCGCACGTCGTCGACATCTGCTGCAGCTGGTCCTTCACAGCGCTACTCATAGCGAGAGGGGGGACGCCGCAGCAGCACCCTGCAGACGAGATTCCACAGATCAAACGCAACTTCACGGCAACACACACATACCCCCGCGCGCGCACCACGTACCCCAGAGCAAAACGGTTCCACCGCGCTGAACAGGAAGATGAGACAACACCCCCACCCCCTCTATCGAAACCTAGGGTTTCAGCTCAGCGGAGGCTGTACGCTACGCGGCGGGCGACCGGATCCAATCCCCGGGCGAATCGCAAGTAGAATACTCACCTCTTCACCACCCGACGCGGCCTCGTCGAGCGGGCGGGGCGAGGACGGGCGGCGGACTGTCGCCGGAGGGAGGTGGTGCGATCAGGCGCCTCTGGGGCGAGACCGCGAGAGAGTGGAGGGGGGAGGGGAGGAGGGAGGAGGCGTACAGTGGTTTGAAATGTTTTGAAATAGGGTAGGGGGGAGTCGGGAGAGGCAAGAATGGCGGAGAAGATTTGGGGTTTGGAAATCCGTTGGTTGGTTCAGGACGGGGACAGCGGCAGAGAGCCGTTACCGGCCGGATCCGGAGGTATCCCATCCTGAGCCCTCCGTTTTGAATTCAACGGCCCGGATGGCACATTGACTCGTTTGAGGGCAGGTTGCCAAGTGGATGCATCATACCTGGTGCTGACGGTGGGGTCAGCATGTCGGTGCCTGTGTGTCAGAAGCGGAGTAAGCGAACTTTCTTTATGATAACTTTCGAGGTAAATAAAAGAACACTGTTGCATTTGCATAGCATTCTGAAGAGGTTTATGATTACATATCGTGGTTAACGTTGAGATCCGATTGTGTGATGCAAGCACAAAAAGGATAAAAAAAATAACATACTAAAGGGAAAAGATCATTGAGATGAAAATGAAATTTTACAAATTGCTAAAAAAATATCAAATCAACTTCACAGGGCATGATTTACTTCAAATTGTCACGAGAATCAAACACACAGTGCAAACCTTGTACGTAATAAATCAAGAGAAAGGGAAACGATGACTTCTTATTCAATTATTTTTTTTTTGAACATGGAAGAAACTCCATTACTCAGAACCTGATGCCAAATCATTGGCCACCAGAACATTTATATAAGGTGGAATACTATCCATAATCGGATTAGTACCCGGACATAACTTCGCCCCAAGGGCAGCTAGACTGTGAGCAACAAGATTACAAGAACGGGTTTTATGTGCTACGACAAAACTAGAAAAATTGATATGTAAGCACTCCTTCAACTCCCATAGCAACCCGCTAGCCGAGCTTCGGTCAAGAACGGGCGCATTTGCCGCTTGGGCCACCATCAGTGCGTCGATCTCCAGGACCACCTTCTGAATCCCCAACATCACTGCCCGCTGAAAAGCTTGTAGATAGGCAATGATCTCTGTATGAGCAGCCTCCAGAACCTTCCCCAGCTTGCCGTAGCCTGAACAAACAACAGTACCATCGGCTCCTCTCATGACATATCCCCAACCCCCAGCTAGATCCTCCTGGCTAAAAGCCCCATCACAATTAATCTTGATAAAATCAGTCGGGGGCTTAGACCATGCCGGCTTCCTTCGACTTTGGACAGGTTCGGCTTGTACATTCTTCAGAGAGGCCCATTCTTCAGCATAGCAATTTACTAACCGTGCAATCTGTCCCAACTCTCTTGGTGCATCCCCTTCGCGAATCCTGCACCGTTCCGACCACCAAATGTACATGAGAGTGATCACCCGTCGCTGCACGTTTTCCTTCAGTTTCAGAATTTCCCAAACTAGCTCTTTGGCCGAAATAGCTTGTGCTAGCCGATCCCTCAATTCTTGCAATTGCAGATCGTCCCAGACCCTTTTCACATGCTTGCACTTAAAAAACAAATGAGCTCCATCCTCATCCAGACGCCCACAAAGGACACAGCCGGTGTTCAACTTAATACCCCTTCTTTTCAGATTAACAAGCAAAGCCAGGCTTTTATGGCTCACTCTCCACATAAAGTGCAGCATCTTTTTTCGGTCAGTCAACTTGCCACAACGGTTTCCATAGCTGGTCGCCATTGTTTCTGGTAAATGAAGAAGATCCACCACTTCTAGGTGCATTGCATCTCTCCCTATCTGCAACATGGACTTTATAGGCTGACCTCACTGAAAACATACCATTTTTATTATAGTGCCAAGCAATCATATCATCCATTCCCTCATGTACAGGGATACTTAATATATAATCTCTGCGTCTTCTTGCCAAAATGTAGCTCGGACCAGCTCCTCATCCCAAGACCCAGTATCTGGATCAAAGAGTTCATGCACTCTTGTCAAAAGATTTTCACCCCTCGGTATGTATGGTTTCCTCCATTGATCTCTTGGAATCCATTCATCAGTCCAGATATAGGCACTCATCCCATCACCTATTCTCCGGATTAAACCTTTTTTCAGAACCTCAATCCCAGCCAAGATACTACGCCAAGTATACGACATATAAGCGAAATAATTTGAAAAAAAAACTCCCTAACCTATTGATAGTTGTCTACTTCATCCCCTCACCTATAAAATCATATATTCTACCTCTTAAACTATTGAAAACTATCTAAATAACCCCTAAGGCGATTTTGAAAGCGGTTTTTGCTGATGTGGCATATTAAAAAGTATATACATAACCCCCTAACATATCAAGGGTTGACTATATACCTCCTCAACTATAAAACACTCTTAACGCATCTAATAATGTTCAAATTACCTCCTGGATTGTCTTGTAGGACCATTTGGATATCGTATCCTACCACATTGACCTAAGCACCCATGTTTGCACACAAGCTCATCAGCTTCCTCTTTCTCCCTACTCTTTTTAGGCTTGTGTCGCCACCCGATGAGCACCACAAATGTCTCTTGCTCCATCTCATGGCACTCCACGAGGGCATTGAGCTAATGCAGTATGCCTGCGCCCTTGTCACCCGTTGCCACCTGATGAGCACCACAATGTCTCTTGCTCCATCTCATGGCACTCTTCGAGGGCATTGAGCTCATGCACTACACCTGCGCCCTTGTCACCCGGCCCCTCCCACATCTGGCGAGGCCCAGTCCTTGGCTACGACAACTGGCCATCCCATTGATGTGCACCGTACGATCTAGTGGTGGTTGTGTGACACATTGGTAAATCGCCTGGTGAAATCCAACTTGACTTGGTGACAAGTTGCCTAGTTAACTCTAGTGCTATGTATGATCTGATGGAGACTAAGTGACTTCCTAGCAAATCGTTGGGTGGGCCAAGCTTGACTTCTGATAAGTTGGCCCAGTCTCGGTATTGTGGTGTATGATTCGATGGAGACTTTGTGACCCCCCTGAATATTTTGGTATGTTCCTTCCTAACTGTCGGAAAAACATATCAGCACAGAGGCACCATATGATCCAGTGCAAGTAGAGGAGACCAATGGATCATCCAGTGATTGTTTTGTCTTCCAACTTTTTCCAACAACTAGCAGCTCCTTCAACCTCTATATAAGTGCCTCCCCTAGCTCATTTTGAGCTGCTCTTCGACCCCGTTGTTGCCAACACTTGTATAGCCAAGAAGTGAGAATTGAGAGTTAGCCTTTAGTGCCACCGGTATTTTTGCTTGGATCTCTGAGTTGAAGTTGAAGACTTATTACTCTTGGTGATTGCCATCACCTAGACAGCTCGGGGGATGACTTGGTGACCTTCCTGGTTGGAGTTCTTGTTGAGGAGGCTCTAAAAGATGCATATGGTTTCAAACTCGCTATTCCAGAGTGGAGAAGGGGTACTCACTAGTGAAGTGGAGCTTAACCAAGTTTTGATGACTCTTCAGTGCTCCAATGTAGACTAGGGGATTGTAGCAACAACTTGATACCAAGGGGAACTCAGGTTGTCTCTTTGCCTCTTTTGATCTTGCATTACTTTCTGTTTAAGCTCTTGCTTTGCTTGTTGTGTGCAAATTCTCTTCTTAAGTGTCAACTAGGTTTGCTTGTTAGTGTGCTTAGCATATGTTTACTTCTTACACAAAGACTTTTATCTTAGGCCCTCTTTGGCAATGGCTCCAAAGGCTTTAGCTTCTTCTACCGTGACTACTTTAGATGTACTCTGTGGCAAGAGCTACTTTTCTCTCTTCAATCCAGAATGAACTGACAATCAAGAGAAGCCAATAAAGCCACGAGGAGAGGCTTCACTAACTTCTACTACAGTGTCACTACGGTGCAAAAGTTGAAGCCCCACAAATCCACCAAAGAGGGTCTTTATTCATGAGATTCCCATTAGTTATTTATCTTGCAGGATGTATCAAACATTGTGTGAAGCCCTTGATAAAATTAGATGTTCCTTTATATACCTTGCTATGTAATTGGTTAGCTATGGCCTCAAGGACATTATCATGCGACTCTTCTCTTCCCACGTGGCACGAAGTGAGATAGGCTATACAGTCGTTTGGAAGCAACAAGGTCCGCATACTCCCTGCCCCTTAACCAAACACATCAAAAATGCAATCAACCCATCTCATTCTCATCCCTTATCGTCCCATGAACCAAACACATTCCATCCCTTCGTCCCTTGAACCAAACACAACTCATCCCTTATCATCCCATGAACCAAACACTGGAGTTAAAAACAGATCACAAAAAAGGGACTGCACAGATAACAAACTGTGGAATCGGCTCAGAAAAAAAAAATTGAACAGGTGACCTCATGACAGCTATTAACATGCGAGACTACAGTATTTCTTTGAGAATTAACAAGTTTATAGTTTTGCCGTCATCAAAAAGGATAATTCTTCCTCAAAGCGCAGTAAGCCAAATGAAAATGTCACTGTGAATCCTTATTAGGGGGGAAAAACGGAGGGGAAACACATCCATTGGCAGGGCAGGGCCTCTTGCACATAAATACATGTTCTTGATAACACAGAATAAAGGGCACAACATGTTGACCTCCAAAAGTTAAATTTTGCATTGCCTGTGGAGACTGTTTATCATGCAGATTCCTTGGCAATCTTCTCTGCCTTGGCGATGACCTCCTCTATTCCTCCAACCATGTAGAATGACTGTTCTGGAAGGTCATCATACTTGCCATCCAAAACACCCTATACGATACAAAGGTTCAAATAGTCAACACTAACCGTAAAAGCACAAAAATGGGTGCTGCCATTTGCATTTCAGTAATGAGACAAAAATACTCATACATACACATGATAAGTATTCCTATTAAGATGATAAGATCTCTTAAAGCAGCTAGTAGAATTTGCAAGGCATTTTTTAAGTGTGTACATAATTAGTCATATCATATCATAACAAACCATCATGTGAAACTTGTGTTTGCTTTCTATATACGCAGGGTTTACCTTAATAAAAAAATCATAACTGGACACATTTTTTTTTTTGCCCCTGTTAGTGTTCAGAATAAAGTACTCATGTGTATACATCACTTTGGACATGGGACAGTCTACAAGAGGTAACTTTTACTAACTCCTGCAATAATATGTTGTTGAAAACTATGATAAAACACAACAACGAAAAACATCATATGACAAGCCAAATGTCCATTAGCCAACCTGTGGTTCATGTTAGAAGTAAAATCAAGAAAAAAAAACTACCATTATCAAAAACAAAAATAAAACTACTATACTTTTGTCAAAAGACGCATTTCCATAGACCACATCAAATAAATCATTAAATTTGACAAAACTTAATCATGCATTGAGTACGAAGCTGCAAGGCAAAGAACACCAACTGGATTGTTTAGCCAAACAATGATAATTGGAGGGGGAGAAACTGTTGCAATAGTACAGTTCACAATGGGCCAGGAGATAGGTTACAGTCATGACATATACCTGGAAACTTTTGACACTCTCCTTCAGCTCAACATACTTTCCAGGTGCACCCGTGAAAACTTCAGCAACATGGAAAGGCTGGCTAAGGAACCGCTGAATCTTCCTAGCACGAGCGACCGTCAACTTGTCATCTTCGCTGAGCTCATCCATTCCCAGAATGGCAATAATATCTTGAAGATTCTTGTAATTCTGAAGAACCTTCTGAACACCACGAGCAGTGTTGTAGTGCTCCTCACCCAGAACATGGGGGGACAACATTCTGGATGTGGAGTCGAGAGGATCAACGGCAGGGTAAATACCAAGCTCAGAAATCTGCAAAGAGACAACGCTAACATCATACTCATAATAGCAACAGCATCAATTCGCAGAAATTCTACCTAGACATGAGGCAGGAATACCTGACGTGACAACACAGTAGTAGCATCAAGATGGGCAAAGGTGGTTGCAGGAGCAGGATCTGTCAAGTCATCAGCAGGCACATAAATAGCTTGAACAGATGTAATAGAACCCTTCTTTGTGGTGGTAATCCGCTCCTGCAGTCCTCCAAGATCAGTAGCAAGGGTGGGTTGGTATCCCACAGCAGATGGAATACGCCCAAGCAGAGCAGACACCTCAGAGTTCGCCTGACAGATAGTAGATACCAAATATACAAGTTTTCAGCTTTAATGTATGCAGAATCAAGGCAGAAAATACATATGAGACTGATTAACTAATGTCATCTGCATATCCAATAACAAGAATACCATTGCAGGTACTTTCCGGACATAAAACAGGACGTGAATCTACCTGGGTGAAACGGAAAATGTTATCGATGAAGAGAAGCACGTCCTGTCCTTCAGCATCACGGAAATGCTCAGCAACAGTCAAACCAGTCAGCCCAACACGAGCACGAGCACCAGGAGGCTCATTCATTTGACCGTAGACAAGAGCGCACTTGCTCTCACTCTGCCGCAAAGTACAATGTAAGGAAAACCCGCCACAGATATGAGAACCAACAACACATTCAAAATCCTGATCATTACCTGCTTATCACCAAGCTTAATGACACCACTCTCAATCATTTCTCTGTACAGGTCATTACCCTCACGAGTACGTTCTCCAACACCAGCAAAGACAGAGAAACCACCTAGATGAAGAAATAAAATAAATAAGCCAACATAAACACATGACAATTTTGCTGCATGCCCATCCAGCTCTGTAAAAAAACAAACCATGGGCCTTGGCAACGTTGTTAATCAGCTCCATGATAAGGACAGTTTTTCCCACCCCAGCACCACCAAAGAGACCAATTTTACCACCTCTTTGGTAAGGTGCAAGAAGATCCACGACCTGATAGAAGTAGAAGCCTTGAATTAAACTATGCACAATAAGCCTTGAAATATGAAAAGAACCTAGCAAACTAGACAGGCACACACTTCCAAAGAGGTGCACCTTGATTCCAGTAACAAGAATTTGCTGCTCTGTAGCTTGCTCGACGAAGGCTGGGGCTTCACGATGGATAGGGAGGAAGTGATTTGTTGCTAAAAGCAAGGAGCAATCAACAAAACAAGAATATAAGCGTGACTTTTAGTAGTGTATACGTAAATGTTAAAAGTAAATCAATGTCATGAAGACTTACTTATATCTCCCTTCTCATCAATAGGCTCACCGATAACATTCATAATGCGTCCAAGCGTTGCCCGACCAACAGGGACCTAGAAACAGATATACAAGTCACAAATGCAGCACAACTGAGACATGGTTTGGAAGATGGTGTAGCACGGTAATTAAGAGATTAGCAACAACTAGGTTCAGATACTGTAAGAATCTAGAGCCTACAGTACAAAGCTTATATACGGCAGCTGTAACAAGTCATTTCGTGTGTCAATGACTTACTATAAGTTTAGTAGCTAAATCATAGAACACATAATAAGCAAGCCACCAAAGTTGCATATGCCCATGATAAGCTGAGTAGATGGGAAAAACTTTCAAAGATTTCCAAATGTTTATACTTTATTACGGCTACATGAAATTTCCTTAGTAACTTTATCAAAGTAACGAATGGTAAATAATCTTGACTTGTGATGAGACTATTAGTAGATTAAAACGTATATGGAATGGATCGGCATTTTTTAATTTTACTAAACCATGATGATAATGCTAGAGGCATATGGATTATCAACCAAATCAGTACAGCATACTATCGATAAAAACAGTCGTAGATCTACAAAGCACTGACTGGACAACAGATGGATCCGTACGTCTAGATCAAACCTAAAACCCGCCGGTTTCACCGATTCGTCAGATAGACATCCGAAAATATCAGCTCAAAACAAAAAAAAAAGGAACGGGAAATGAGGAAATGGGCTTACAGTGATGGGAGAGCCGGTGTTGAGAACACGCTGACCGCGGACGAGCCCCTCTGTCCCGTCCATGGCGATGGTGCGGACCATTTTCTCCCCGAGATGCTGCGCCACCTCGAGCACGAGGCGAATGTTGTTGTCGAGCACCTCGAGCGCCGTCAGGATCGGGGGCAGACCCTCGTCGAAGCGCACGTCCACGACGGCGCCGATGACCTGACACACCTGGCCGATGGCGCCGGCGCCGGTGAACTCATCGGTGATCTTGCCGCCACCGGTTTTCTTGCCGGTGGAAGGAGGCGGCCGAGCGGGCGCGGCCTGGGCCGCGGCGGAGGAGGCGTAGGCGGCTGCGCGGTTGAGTATGAAGCCCGCGGGGGACGGGCGGTGGTGGAGCGGCGCGCGCGGGCACGGGGACGGTGAGGCGGAGCGGAGGCGAGAGGCGGAGCGGAGGATGGATGAGAGGGCCCGGCGCGTGGCCATGGCCGGCGGCGAGGGGTCCGGATCTAGGTTTTCCTCAGAATGGTGTGGGTGGGAGTGGCGGCTCCACTCTGCGGGGAAGGGTGGTAGGGGTTTGGGGATCGGGGTTGGGGTGGGGAATACGGAGGAGGGTGGGGATGGGAGGGATTCCGGGCCCAATTTTTTAGAATTTGGCCTTTTTTAATAAAAAAAATATTTTTGGTCACGTAAACTTATCTTTTATGGGTGACGTCGAGGTAACACGTCTCGACTCCTTAGATTTTACCTCTGAGGTGTCTGGCCGAGCACAGCAGTATAGCCTAGGTGGCGTTAACGTGGCCGGCACCTCGTCGCCAGAATACATGGCGTCGACCTCGGCGCCACAGATCTTAGCGCTGAAACCCATGGTCAAGTTTTCCTTGCCGAGACTGCTTTCATTTCTTCCTTCTACCTCTCAGGTTCTTCCTCTCCCTACCCCGTCCAATCTTTTCAATCGACGAATTTGGCCTTGGATACTTGGATTTGATCCATACATCTTCGCGAGCAAGGTATCATCTCTCCCCTTATCATTTTTTACGCATTGATTTGGTATATATATTACGTCTATTTTGCAACCCTAGATACGTTATTACCTAATGTTTGAAGTGATTTTTTTATTTTTTGTATTATATAACGGTAGGATGTTAAGGCGTGGTAAAGCTAGTAAACCAAGATAATCTCTTATCATCATGGTATATTATATTTTTATTTATGTGCAACAAATAGAAAAACCCTATTTATAGTGTGGGGGTACGGCCCGGTATCCACAAGACAAGACATAGGCTGCACCATCAGAGGTGGCCCAACCTACAAGATCAAGGCATGCACGGCGCTGCTCGGTATGCACCGTAAGCTATTATATAGTACCAAATAGGATACATTTCTTGTAGCCCTACCCCTCCAGAGTATATAAGGAGAGGTAGGGGTCCCCTAGTGGACACGATCGATACATCTCAATGCAATACATCAGAACACAGAATATAGGTATTACGTCATACTGACGGTCGAACCTGTCTAAATCTTATGTCTTGGTGCTTGTATTACCATCTCGCTCCTGATCTCGCTCACCTCTACGACAAATCTACCATCATGGGATACCCCTCGGTGGACTACCAAGCATCTTTTGTCACCAGTTGATGCGCCAGGTACGGGTGTGCGCTTGATCCATGGCGAGCCAGATGGACCTCAAATCAACAACGCATTCTCGTCATCAATCTCGTGGAGATCCATGGTGTCCGCGATGATCCATGGCGAGCCAGATGGACCTCAAATCTTCAACAACAATTCTCGTCATCAATCTCGTGGAGATCCATGCCGACGACGTTCCTAAAGCGACGCTTTAATGATTTCCTAAATATTCTCCAATCTACGTATATCGCCATAATGTTTCCGAGCTATTTTCTTCATATTTACTCTCTAAACGATTTTTCCGATCTCACGTTGAACCACGCCTCTAGAGGTCGCGCTTCACCAACAACTCACCGCGTTATGGGTGGTCGGGTGGCTCATTTCGCAGTGCTCCACGCTCACGGGCTCCGCGCTCGTTATGGTTAACAAGCTAGGTAGGGCTAGAGATAACGCCATACGTCGGCGGTTTATATTAAATATAAATACATCTTCACACTAATCGATCGCCGAGCTATGTCACGCATTTTAATATTTTCCTAAATATTCTCCATTCTCATGTTTGTATTGTAGGATCATATCGCCATAATGTTCGAACCACTTGGTTCATGGAGATCAGTTGATCGGGACCGTTTCATATTTCTTCATATTTACTCTCCAAACGATTTTTTGAACTCCCCCATGAGGAGCGATCGCCCCACGTCGGGGACAACGTTGATGCTCGGGTTTCGGACATCGCCACAGGAGACTCCTCGCTCTCGGTGTTGGAGACATCACCCGCTATATGGGGGACTCCTCGGTGCGACATCCTCGGACATCGCCAACGACGCGGGGACTCGGATATCGCCCCTCGCGCCTTTCGGACATCGCGGCGACGTCGGGACTCCTCGCTCTTGGTGTGCCGGACATCGCCCGCCCGGACGCCGACTCCTCGCCGCCTCTGCGTGGGACTCCTCGGGTGGTGGCGGACGCCTTAGCGCGCTTTGACTTCTTCCTTGATGCCGGACGCGCCACGGGCTCCGCGCTCTACGTTATGGTTAATGTGCTAGGTAGGGCTAGAGACTCGCTCCTCGGTGCTCGGACATCACTAACTCCTCGCTCCTCGGTGTTTCGGGCGGCGCCGAGGACTTTATATTAAATATAAATACATCTTCTCACAGGATGTAGCGACGCCGGGGACTCCTCGCTCTTGGTAACATCGCTAGCGGCGTTAGACTCCTCGTTCTTGGTGCTCGGACAACGTCGGGGACTCCCTTCTTTCGGATCTTGCTACGTATTGTATAGTACTAAATATGATACTTTCCTTGTACTAAATATGATACACACTAAATATGATACACACTTCTTTTTTGATGGTTAAGATTTATTTTTCATCTTCCAGCAGTTTCGGGGACTAAGTGGGCACACTTCACCTTGCGGTGAATGTGCGTTTTTCTCATCTCGAGGCTATGCCTATTGCGCTGCCATGGTCTTCTACTTTCTAACCCTAATATGATACACACTAACGTTATGATCCACAAGACAAGACATGGGCGCACCATCGAGGTGGCCCGACCTACAAGATCAAAGCATGCAGTGCAACTCAGCTATTGTATAGTACTAAATATGATACTTTTCTTGTACCCTACCCCTCCAGAGTATATAAGAAGAGGTAGGGGTCCCCTAGTGGACACGATCGATACATCTCAATGCAACACATCAAAACACAGGATGTAGGTATTACGTCATACTGACAGCCGAACATGTCTAAATCTTGTGTCTTAGTGCTTGTATTACCATCTCGTTCCTAATCTTGCTCACCTCTACGACAAATCTACCATCGTGGGATACCCCTCGGTGGACTGCCGAGCATCTTTTGTCGAGGGTTTAATGTTTATTGCTATCGGTTCTTAGAACAAATTTGGTTCAATTGTAGTCATGGCCGGATAACTGGAAATGCCTTCGACCCATTGCCTCTGCCTAGTGGTGTTCCAGTGCACATGTGCTGGTGCAGTGATCCTTGCAAGGTAGCCAAGTCCGATGAAGAGGACACGTATAGGCAGAGATATTGGATGTGTGCGAATTTTGTGTTTGAGCCTACACTTCGTCAGCGTCGCATTAACGAGATGGTGATAAATTGATGTTGTGTAATAATTATTTTATGTCAAATGAAGTCTTGCATGATTTATTTGTTTTGTAATAATTGCATTTGTTGCAGACTCCTCCACCGCTCTATGATTTTGAGCAGTGGGTCGACACTAAGAGCAAGCCGAAAGACAAGGAGTGGATGCAGACTATCATGGTGAGAGGCAGAGGACAAGGAGATGATGGAGAAGAGGCACAGAAAGGAGGCTCTAGAAAAGAAGCACAAGAAAAGGAGGAAAGGAGACGTGTTGCTTCATACAGGGAGGAGAGGGAGAGGAAGCTTGAGCGTGCGCTCCGAGCGAAGGCAGCGATGGAGGAGAATTCCAATGCCCAGAGAAAGGGAAAGTGGTCTCGGTGCACTCAGTAGTCTTCATGACTTGCTAGTTCTATGGTTTATTCATGAACAATGTTGTCTAATCTTGGACTTTGCATTGTGTTGTTATATAATGCACTTTAAGTATGGACGTACCTAGGGCATGTTCTACGTTATTTAGTTTGTCGTCATGTACTTCAAATATTGTTATGTTGATTAATGTGCTCTATTATTGGACCTTTCATAGTGTTGTTGGTTTCATTATTTGTTGTCATAGTATTGAGTTTAATATTGCATAGGTAGTGAAACGAGCTAACGTAGTGTAAATAAAACGTAACGAAGTAGTGGATTACCTAATTCAACACACACAACACATGAAATGGCATGTGATAACATGTACCAAACTAGGGTACAAAGGTCCTGAACTAAACCTAGCATGCCTTAGGTAATTGAAGCAAACAACAAACACATGAAATGGCATGTGAGAACATGTGCCAAACAAGGGTACATAGTTCCTTCGACTAACCCTAACATGCCTTAGGTGATTAAACCAAAAAACAAACACATGGATGTGGCCCGTTAAAAAGATTGGTTTGTCCTAGTAGTGTGTCCACATAGCAAATTGTGTTGCACCTTCTCCACAGTATCCTCCTATTATTGGTGGTGGTGGCGGGGGGTGGCGGCGGAGGACCCTTGTTCCTGTTATTAGGGCAGGTGTAATATAGATCATTGCAGAGTGCCTTCTGTGAACTGGCACCATTGTTGTCGTATTCCTATTCGTCATCCTTGTAACCGCTGCTAACTTCCCTTTCTAGATCGAAGATACAGTCTTGCGGGTAGTAGATATACTCCACATGCGGATAAATAGGTCGAGGATCGACCCACCTAGTGAATCCATAGTTTTCTTCGGCCAAGAAAGACTGCAATAAGTATGTCATATAAGTTGTATAGAAGAGGAACATATTGAAGAAACAAATAGTAATGGCAAATACCCATGCTCAGGGTCATTTGAAGAAATGACGACCTTCATCTATTCCCTCGGTGAACATTTGCACTAGGCAGTCCTCACCATGCATGCATTTTGGTCATTCTTCTTTCAGTTCATCGTATCCTCTCAGTGGTGCCTCTTTGGTGAAATCACTTTTACTCTCAACTGGGAACCTATCATAAAGAGCTTCCTCAAAGAAATTGGGACCAAGAGAACCCTCCCACACAATGGTAGTTCCCTTTCCCTTTCCTCTCCCTTTGGACGACCCTCCAGACATTGGTACTGCAACGAAAGAATATACTAGTTGGAAAGTAAGTAGCAATGCAGCCAACATTGCGTATATGTACGCAGAGGTAGGTTTAGTTGCCATTTCAATGTACTTTACATTTGTCACAAGAAGCCTAATTAGTTTCACTGAAGAGCCTATTTCAATGG